TCTGTCTGTACTCCCCTCACAATGGATGAAAGTCAGTTGTTACTCTTGTACTCTGGATTCTAGCCCCTCTCAGCTCCTAAGACTTCCCCTCCTGTAGTTACTGGCATTGTCTTGTAAATCACAATACTTTCCCTTAGCTGAGTCATTCTCATTTTCTTCTAATCTACTGTTCCCTTTACCATAGGCTTCCTGAAGCATCACGCTGCTTCTCTTTATCTTTTGCTTTACAGAAAAATAGCCTGTGTTCACCATCTCCAGTTCCTCACCTCTCAATCGCTCTGGACCCTACCCTCATCTAGCTGTTTGGACCAGTACTCTTATCAAAGGCACCAACAGTTTGCACATTTTCAAATCCAATTTCTTTTCTCGTGTTTATTCCTCCCACTTCTCATTACCCCAGACTTTACTTCTTCTAGGAACGTGTCTTTCCCAACTTTTCGGACATCACATTTCTGGCTTTTCTTCTACCTACGGGCCATGCCTTCTGAGGCTCCTTTCCTTGTTTCTTTTTTTCTGTTCAACCCCGTGTTAGTTATCTATTACTACAGAACGCATTGCCGCAAATTTAGCAGCTCAAACACCACATATTTATCGTTGTGTGCTTACTGCAGGTCAGGAGTTTCGGCACATCTTAGCTTGGTAGTTTAGGGTCTCAGAGGCTGCAACCAAGTTGTTAGCTGGTCTGCATTCTCATGTGGAGGCTCAACTGGAGAAAGATCTACTCCCAAACTCACTCAGAGTTGTCTGGCAGAATATATAGTTTTGTAGCTGTGGGACTGAAGGCCTCTCCTTGCTGATTCTTGGCTGAAGGTTATGCTCAGCTCCTTGCTATATGGGCCTCCCAACCAGCCACTTAACTTCTTCAGAGTCAGCTACACAGAGAATGAATGCAGTACCACTAGCCATATTCTTTGAGTAAAAGCAAGGCACAGGTTCTGCCCACAATCCAAGAGAGAGTTACATGATGCCACGATTTAGAAGGCAGAGATCATGGTGTTTGCCACATGCTATAAATATTGGTGTGCCTGTGGCCAGGACTTGACAATTTAGCATTGTCTTCCTATAGATGACCTCATCCAGATTCATAGCTTAAAACATTTTCTATAGGATGACGGGACAACCAGATTGCCAACCCTAACTTTTCTTGTATCCGCTATCTGATAGTTGTCAGATTTTTAAGTTCAAAATGGGTCCTTATTTCCTCCTTCTTTTGATCCTCATACAAACTATTCCTTCCCCTTTATTTTTCATGTTGATAACTGGCATGACATTTTTTTCGGAATCTTCCTCTCCTCAACATTTATTGAGTCAATAAATCTTTTTGATCAATACTGCCTTGAAAATATACCTTGAGTCATCACTCTTTTCATTCTTAATTAAAGATAATATGAAATTATTAATTTTAAAGAGGCATAAAAGAGTGGGGTACATTAATGGAATATGCTGGGAGACCCAAATGTAGTTTTGAATTTTAAAACCCCCAATTTTTCAATTTTATAATATCTAATTTCAGAAATACCACAAAATCTTTATTAATATAAATTGTATTTTCAGATATATTTTACTTGTTAGAAGTCAAGTCAAAGGCTTTACCACACTCCATTGAGATTTTCCTATCCATCTGTCCCTCCTTATGCATACTGCCATAGCCACAGCCTGTCTGTCCCCCAAACATCTAACTAGCCTCTCTGTTTCTACTTTTGCTCCAATGTGGTCCATTCTCCATCCAAAATATTTTTTCTGTTTTTTAAAAAGATAATCAGACTATACAACTATCTGCTTATCTGATCTTAGCTTATTTGCACTTAATTCAAACAAAGATTTATGTTTCTTATCTGCCCATCAGGTGCTAGCTACACTATCCAGCCTCAGCTGGTGTTTCTTTTCTCTCTCACTCTTTTCCATTAACCATAACCATCTTCTTAACCTGTGGGCCCTTTGCCCCCACCAGGGCTCCTATACTTGCTGTTTCCTCTGCCTGGACCGCTCTTCCCTCTTCATTCATTGAATGGCTGCACCCTGTCTGCTCTCAGACCTGTATTCAAAACCTCTGCAGAGGGCCCTTCCATGACCACCACTTAAAGTAAGTACCCAGTAAAATCAGTGTCCAAAATCTATGGTGGATGGCTTGTTTTTAGATTTCCAAACCATTGTGGACTGATATATTAGTAAAATATAACAAAAATGTCATGGTTATGTGAAATCTCTATAAAAGTTTTAAACTCTCACTGTCAATTTCTGTACATGTCTGGTAGCACACTGGGAACCAGCCCCAGTCTGTCAGCACTACTTTGCATAGCAGCACATCTCCATCTGATTATCCTGTGTACTTCCTGAAGACTAAGCACGCTTTGTAATCCTCTGACCTATTTCCTTAGTGTGTCATTTGTCTCCCCCAGAAGGATTTTAGCTCCATGTAGTCATGGGTTTTGTCTTGTTCTTATCACCTCTCTGTCCACAATGCCAACAACAGTGTCTGATATACGCAAGGCTCTTATTAAATCCTTGGTGATGGTCTAGCTGCGTGCCTTGCCTGTTCTGCCCAGCCCAAGAATTGCGGGAGACCCAGGTTGCCTCTCCTACCTTGCTGGGGTAGGTCTGACTCCTTTCTATACCTGGTGTGGGGAGGGGGTTGGCCCTTAATCAATGCTTCATTGACAGGAATAAAGTAATTCCAACTTCAGTGATGTTGCTAACTCACTAAGTTACTTCACCAAATGATTTAACATCACATGCCTCTTCCATAAATGATATGCTTTTACCATTGCCATGAAATGAGGTCGATGCTCTTGAGTACTCTCCAACATACTTTATACTCTCAGTGGCCTCTCAGATCTGCCTCAATTTTGCAACTAAAACCCAAAAGCCATTTTGCGTATTGACATTCTTTTCGATGAAGTAGAGTGGGATTTAGTAGACATTTTGTGTAAATTGTCATATAGTAAATATTTTCCTCTTTAGCTAGCCTCTGCTTTGTTATTTTGGTTGCTTGGTTGTTTATTTTCCCAACCCTTTGAAAGAAATATAAACATCATTTTTTATCTCAAGAGCTAGGAAAACAGACCCAGGCAAAGTTTCCCTACCCCTTAACAATAGATACTTGGAATTCTATTTCTTTTTTATTTTATAAATTGTATTTTCTGTTCAAATGAGATAAGAAATGTCACCTATGAATAATTTCATTTATTCTTGAATTACTTCTCTTGTTAAAAACTAGTATTATAATCATCACTGTATTCATGCTTTCTGCTTTGTCTTGCTTGTTTTCAAATACATTATGAGTATTTGTAAACTTTAGAACAGCTTTGTTCTTGGCATCAAATCATGTTTCTCCAGTACAGGACTGGTGGTTTGAGTGTAGGGGCGCCCAAAGCATCTGGCAGACTGTCCACTGAAAGACCATTTTGAGCTTTGGTGGCTTCTTAGATTTCGATGATACATCCACAGTAGACTCTGATAACAATGTATGTTTTCTACTTTTCAGTGTTCTGAAGATTTCCCCTCAGGAGTTACCTGTGGTGTAAACATCTGATAAAACCTTTTATTGAATTTAGAGCTAATACAGTTACTTGTGTTTCATTTCTTACTGAGAGTCATATGTGAAGTACTTCAAGAACAAGTTTCTATAATGTTTAAACTTCGTAACCGCTTTATTATTAATAAGGTGCTCTTGGATAGAACAGGGCTTTTGTGAAAACATCCTCCTTTATCTGCTGTTGCTGCCAGAGCCTCGTGTCTTTCTGCAGTCTACCTCTTGTCCCTTCCTTATAAACTGTTGTTATCAATAATTTTTATTCAGGCTATCTTTTCCAATGTCATTTAAAAAAATTCCTTTGTTTCCAAGTTTACCAAATCTCTGAATTCAAGTTGACAAGGGAGGTGGTCTTAGAAAGGTAAATCACAAATAAAATAGATAAAATGATGCCTAGGAATCTCTAGCTTTGTTTAACTCTGACATTTGTTGAGATTGTCTGCAGGTGGATAAGACTCCTGGAACCCTGGCACTGTGTGTGTGCACATTATTGACAGTGCAGGGGCTCAGGGGCAGATAGTGTGTTTGCCAAGAGCCCAGACTCCACTACTTTCTCACTGTGTTGGGCAACTTTTTAAACACTCTGCACCTCTCTTTCCCCATTTGCAAAGTAGGATTGCTGTGAACTTTAAATGCGTTCATGCTTACCTGATCCATGTTGTTGCTGTTGTTAGGTGCCATGAAGTTGGGTCTGACTCCGCTTTCTATCTAGGGTTTCTCAGGAATGGGCTGGTGGGTTTGAGCTGCCCACCTTGAAGTTCATACTGATCTTGCATTCTAGTGCTTATCTTACAGCACCATAGTAGCTGGATCAACATTCAGTGTCCAGAGAAGCAGAAGTCCAGATATTAAGTGACATACTGCATTGGTCAAATCTGGTGCATAAGACCTTTCTTAAGTTTTAGAAAGTGAAAATGTTACTTTGATGGTAAGGCATGCCTGACCCAAGCCAGGATCTTTTCACTGCATCATACGCATACAGCAACTGGACCGTGAAAAATGGAGGCAGAAGAGACATTGATACATTTGAGTTCAGGGGTTGGTAAAGACTGCCAGAAGAACAACTATATCAGTCTTAGGTGAACTATTCCAGGATGCTCCTTAGACGCTAGGATGACAAGACTGCAGCTCACTTATTTCGGATATTTCATCAGGAAAGACCATCCACTAGAAAAAGACATCATGTTTGGCAAAGTGGAGGGTCAGCAAAAACCAGAGAAACTCTCCATGGGATGGGTTTGGGTTCACATGGTGGCTGCAGCAATGGGCTCAGATATACTGATTGTGATGGCAGCGTATCGTTCTGTGATAAAGTTGCCTTGAGTTAGAGTGGACTCAATGGCAATGAGCAAGAAGAACCACCCTTAGTTATTATTAGTTCTTGAAAGAAAATAGGCTTTGATGACAGATATTAATTGATGGATAGTCTATGCTTGACTTGCCCTGTACGTGTTTACGTTCTCTCTAGGCTTTCGTGGAGGCACAAAACAAGATCACTGTGCCGTTTCTTGAGCAGTGCCCCATTAGAGGTTTATACAAAGAGAGAATGACAGAATTGTATGACTACCCCAAATACAGCTGCCATTTCAAGAAAGGAAAACGGTATGTGAGACGCTTTTCATTTAACTTCTTTTTACTTTTTTGACTGAATGCTTTCTTTCCCTTTACAATTTCTAAATAAGTAATATAGGTGAGTTATATCCTGTGATCTATTGCATAATATAGCATTATGACTAGTAATTGGTGAGCTGGGATGATTTTGCAACCAGCAGTGAAGATGTATTTGCCTGTAGATTAATTACCTTGGGCGTACACTACTTCAGAGTTTTTCATATATGCGTTTCTTCCATGTAGGAATGGAAAGAGGCCAGGAGATGGCTTCTGTGACTTCATCTTGTCTTCCTCTTCCTTTAAAATCCACTTAAACATTTTTTTCTTTATCCTTGTTAAAAAACCTTTTTGGAGCCACCGTCACAAATTTATTTTAGAATTTCACAAATTCCTGAATGCAGACATCAGCAAAATATGGCCTGGAGGTCTGCCCTCGGCCTATTTTTAAAAATAAGATTTCATTGGAAGACAGCCACACCTATTTGTTTACAGCTTGTTCATGGCTGCTTTCGTACTATAATGGCAGGTTTGAGTACTTGTGACAGAGACCGTCTGCCTCCTAAAGTCTAAAATGTTTGCTATCTGGCCTTTTACAGAAAAAAGTTACTAATGCTGTGCTTAGCAGCCTGTCTTAAGGGAAGGGAACCAGCCTTTTATTTTAGAAGATCTGCCACCTTACTTTTACTTAAAGAAAAAAAGCTAATGCTTTCTTTAAATATCAATTTAAATTTTAGCAAATAAAGCAGTCTTGGATATTCTTTAGCTAATGTGCATATTTAATACCAAAGACAAATCAGGTAGTAAGCTATAGACACTCTGTTCCTCAAGAACAAGTCCTTGTCATGATCTGGCTGCCATTGTACGTTCTGTTACTTTTGTTTTCTTTTTACTTTTCTATGTTTGGTTTTGCTGCACAGATAGAACACTCCACAGCTAAATAAAGACCATCTCTTTCCTCCAGGTATTTTTATTTCTACAATACAGGTTTACAGAACCAGCGTGTATTATATGTCCAAGATTCCTTAGAGAGTGAGGCCAGAGTGTTTCTTGACCCCAATATCCTCTCTGATGATGGCACAGTGGCGCTCCGAGGTGAGTGTTGTAGAGCCAGGGCCCTGGGAAGGCCCAGCTCTGAAGTTGATGCAGCCACCTCACCTTTGCCTTGCCAACAGTGTATGGACCATATGGTGGAAGAGAAGCGCATGCTTCGTCAGGTCAGCTCATTTTTGTACAGTATATTTAGAATACATCAGTAGTCCTATTCCTAATGGAATGAAGCAGAACTAGAGAATAAGTCACCCTGGACCCAAATTAGCTTTTAGGGCTTCTGGTATCTTGAAGGATTATCATCATTTCCTATAACATTTCCTGAGATATAGTTGTGATTGGGGAAAGAAATAACAACAACAACAAAAAAAAAAACCTCTTGTATAGAAAGGTTAAGCTATATAAGTGATATTTCAACTATAAATGTAAAACGGTTAAAGAGTATTTATGAGATCTATTTTCCTGCCAAAACCAGGAATGAGGTTTTTTTTTTTTTAAGTCTAGTTAATTGTCAGTATGCTAAAAAGAAAAAAGAAAAAAAACAGAAGCCGGCCTGTGAAAATTGGACAACTTGGTACTCTGCCCCCTGAAAGTGAAGGTTTAAAAATTGAATACATTCGTTTTGCCTCCAGCTTCTGCATGTCTCCTAAGTAACTTATTAGAGATCACCTTCTCCGTAGTCCATAGGGAAGATTACCTCAGACTGGTGCCAATAAACACCAGTTCTAGGATAAAGCAGTCAGTTATTTTCTGGTTCTGTGGTTTACTTACCCTAAGGTCGGCAGTTCAAGCCCACCAGCCTCTCCTCAGGAGAAAAATGAGGTTATCTACTCCCACAAAGATAAACAGCCTAAGAAACCCTATACAGGGTTGTTTAGAATTGGAACTAACTTAGTGGCAATGGATAGATGGAGTGGGGCAGTGGTTAAAGCACTCAGCTGATAACCAAAAGGTTGGTAGTTCAAACTCACCAGCCATTGCACTAGAAGATGTGACAGTCTGCTTCCTTAAAGATGACAGCCGTGGAAATGCTATGGGATCATTCTCTGTCATATAGGGATGCTGTGAGTTGGAATCCACTCAATGGCAGTGGGTAGGTAGAGTGGTTTAATAATTTGAACCTAACAGTGATTTTGAGGATGGTGCAGTGTTTTGTTTTGCCATAGGGCCACTGTGAGTTGGAACCACTGGATGACACTTAGTGACAACAAATGAATCATTTCTTTTATGAGAGGGTCAGCACAAGGTAAAGCTGCCCCAAATGTCTAACTTTCCCAAACTGCTGTACAAATCCAGCATGGCTAACATCAGCTATTCCCCCAGCCCTCAGAACTCTCTCTCACTCCAGACCTGAGTTTCTTACTTCACTGCAACATTTCACAGAAGTCAGGAATTGGTACTTACAGTTCAGTGGCTTATTAGGGAAGCAATAGAGTATAACTCAGGACCAGGAATGACGCAGAAGTAATAGGAACAACTCAGGATACAGTTCCCGATTAGCACAGCTTTTTTGATCCTTTGCTTGGGGCTTTCTCCAGCAAGTGCTAGAACTCCATTAGCTCTGTGGGTCAGCAAGTTCCATCCACTGCAGTGGTGCCCCCTGTTCTCTTGCTTCCTGCTGTCTCTGGCTGCTACTGCTATGCTGACATCACTTCCCTCCCACACCCCTTGTTTTTCTTTAAGCCCAGGAAAACTGACCAATTCCATCTTTAGGGTTCCATGCAACTTATTTGCAAGGCTCCCCAGCCCCAAGTGTTTCATGCACTTCAGCTGTTTTAGCATCAAGCTTTCTAAGCCCCTTAAGCAGCTTCTTTGCATAATCCTATCCAATCTTTGTGTGAAGCACAAAGACTGTGACTAGGAAGGCCATTGTAAGTAATTCACTGCACCTCACATACTTTAAAAATTATTCCTTCATAATTTCTTGATTGTCCTTAGTGAAGTTAGGTCTTCATTTTCCCTTTAGCATTTTCTATTTGGTAGACACAGCACAGCGTAGGCCCTCTAGAATTGAGGAACTGGGACACTGAAGTCCTGTGTAATTGATTGTTGTTGTTGTTGGTTCCAATTCATAGTGACTCTGTGTAGGGTTTCCTAGGACCAGCTGGTGGGTTTGCACTGCTGACCTTGTGGTTCGCAGTCCAGAGCCGATCATACAGTGCTACACCAGGCGTCCCTGTAATTGATTAGGGGGGAATTAAAGAGCCCTGCTCCATTTCTAAAAAATCCCTGGATGGCGCAAAGGGTTACACGCTTAACTACTAACTGAAAGTTGGCAGTTCCCAACCCACTCAGAAAAAAAGACCTGGTGATCTCCTTTTGCGTGGCCACAACCTTGAAAACTCTATAGTTCTGCTCTGCAGCATGTGGACTTGCCATGAGCCAGTTGACTCAGTGACTGTTGGGGAGTTTTGGTTCCCATTTCTAATCATGACTCAGTCAGTCTAATCAGATTAGAATACACACAGCATTTCTCAACCTTAGAAAGCATTCAAGCCTCAACTTGAAATTTTGAAGGATTCTATGGAACGAAGCCCTGGTGTGGTGCTGTAGGATAAGCACTCCACTGCTAACTGCAGGGTTGATGGTTCAAGCCCACTGGCTATTCCTTAGAAACCCTGTACAGGGTTGCTGTGAGTCAGAACCAACTTGATGGCATTCAACACCATCACAGTGGAACAATGCAGAAAGCATTAAAAGTAGATTAAAATATACAGACTTACTGTACAAAAAAAATGGATTCAACAACTTCAGGAGGTAGCATATGATCAAGAGCCTATGACATTGAAGGAAGAAGTTCAAGCTACACTGAAGGCATTAGCGAAAAACAAGGCTTCAAACATTGACAGAATCCCAACTGAAATGCTTCAACAAACTGATGCAGCACTAGAGGTGCCTATCTGTCTATATCAAGAAATTTGGAAAACAACTACCTGGCCAATCAACTGGAAGAGATCCATATTTCTGTCCATTCCAAAGAGAGGTGACCTGAAGGAATGACGGAATCATTGAACAATATTATTACTATCACACACAAGTAAAATTTTGCTAAAGATAATTGGAAAATAGTTGTAGCAATACGTTGACAAGGAGCTGCCAGAAAGTCAAGCCAAATTCAGAAGAGGATGAGGAAGAAGTGTCATTGCTGATGTCAGATGGTTCTTGGCTGAAAACAGAGGTTACCAGAAAGACATTTACTTGAGCTTTATTGACTATACAAAGGCATTTGACATTGTGGATCATCAGACTTTGGATAACATTGGGAAGAATGTGAATTCCAGAATGCTTAATTATGTTCATGTAAAACTTGTATGTAGAGCAAAAGGCAGTCATTCAAACAGAACAAATGGATACTGCATGTTTTAAAAGCAGGAAAGATGTTTGTCAGGGTTGTTTCTTTTCACTACACTTCTTCAATTCAGTCTGTAAGATGAGCAAATAATCCATAAAACTGGACTTTATGCAGAAGTATGTGACATCAGGATTGGCGGAAGGTTCATTAACAACCTACAGTATGCAGATGATACAACCTGCTGAAAGCAAAGAGGACTTGAAATATAGTCTGATGAAGATCAAAAACTGCAGCCTTCAGTATGGATTACAATTCGATGTAAAGAAAAAAATTTCTCACAACTAGACCAATAGCAACATGATAAACAGAGAAAATATTGAAGTTGTCCAGGATTTTATTTTATTTGGATTCACAATGGAAGCAGCAGTCAAGAAATCAAACAACATATTGCACTGGCAAATCTGCTGCACAAGATCTCTTTAAAGTGTCAGAGAGCAAAGATGGTACTTTGAGGACTAAGTTGTGCCTGACCCAAACCAAGGTATTTTCAGTTGCCTCATATATATGTGAAAGTTGGACAGTGAATAAGGAAGACCCTAGAAGATTCAATGTGGTTGAATTTGGTATTGGCAAAGAATATTGAAAGTACCATGGGCTGCCAGAAAAACAAACAAATCTGTGTTGGAAGATGTACAGCCAGAATGCTCCTTAGAAGCGAAGATACAGTGACTTCTCATATACTTCGAACATATTATCAGAAGGACTGTTCCCTGGAAAAGGATATAATGCTTGGTCAGAGTGTCAGTGGGAAAAGAGGTGGTTGTGGTGGTTATGTGCCATGGAGTAGGTTTTGACTCGTAGCGACCCTGTACAGGGTTTCTGAGGCTATAAATCTTTACTGGAGCAGTAAGCCTCATCTTTCTCCTGCGGAACAGCTGGAAGTTTCAAACTGCTGACCTTGTGGTTCACAACCCGATTCATAACCACTATGCCACCAGAGTGGCTGCAACAGAACAAGTGGGCTCAAACATAACCATTGTGAGGATGGTACAGGACCAGGCAGTATTTCCTTCTGTTGTGCAGAGGGTCTCTGTGGGTCGGCATTGATAGGACAGCACCTAACAGCATCAGAGATTCAGTGGTCCCTTCCCCTAATCCCAGTAGGCTGTGTGGGTATGTAAATGAAGATCCATATTTACCACTCAGTATTTAAAGTAAGACGCCAGACAACTTGATAACAGTATTCTTGAATTTGAGCCTGGTGCTTTAAACAGAGCTAACACACTGGTTCTGTGCAGTAGCATGCCCTGTTAAAAGAATGCATTTGGATTAACATAAGTCTAGTTTACAGTCCATCTAGAAGGACTTCATTATAGCATGGTCTCACCTCTCACCCTGGTAACTCATTCTTTATGGAGTACATGCTCATCATGTACAAGGTCTTGATGGATGAAAAGGTAAATGAGACACGGAAGCTGGCCTCAAGCAGTCCTTGAGTTTTCAGAGAATGGTATTATGCTGGTGGTGATGTGCCATAGACCCGGTTCTGACTCATAGTGACCCTGCATAGGGTTTCTGAAGCTGTAAATCTTTAGGGAAATTAAAATGTAGGTAAGCATTTAGATTCTACTAATGGTATATAATTTTTAAAGATATATTTAAGCAAAAATTTTGTATTTAATATTTCCCTGAAAAAATTATATATTAAAAATTCAAGCAGTAATCTGGTCATCTAGATTTTTCTACATTTATACACATATGAGCTTGGGTATACTACAGGAATTTTAAGTGATTTGTTAGTAGGTTTTCTAAAATTTTAAACTCATTTCCCATTGAAAGAAATGCCATGTAAAATGTCAAAAACCTCTGAAAGCAGTTAAATTTCTTAGGTTAATTTTCAACCCCCCCAGTCAAGTTATTAGCAACTGTCATAGAAGGAAATCTGATGTCACAGTATCTAATGGTAGGTAGGTGTGGCACCAAATGCTACACATACTTTATAATCATGTGATTTGTTATAAAATAAGTAAATATTTGTCTAACAGCATTGCACAGTGATGAAGACATCTGTCACAGGACCCTAAAACAGTGAGTGGCAGTTGGTAGGCAGTGTTGCTTTTCTTCATTTTTCACGGTCCCTTTGGAATGTGTGTTCTGTGAGCTTTCTCTGCAAAGCTGCAGGATTTTTATTTGGACCGGTGCTGGTCAGATAATCCTTGAGAGACAGTAATGCTCACAAAATGAGGTCATGAGCAGGGGTTTCAAAGAGTTTAGGATCTGTTCCCAAAATTACCCAATGGCTATAATTTATTACTTGGTATGTGTCATAATTCAGTTATTACTCTTAAGGCAATTTCCTTACTTTTCCTTTCTATTATTCGCCTCAGACTATAAATAAAATGTGCCCAAGATCCCAGATGAACTCTGCTTTCCGTTGAACTCTGTATTGACTCATAGATATTTCAAAATGGAAGAAGAGTCTTGTTGTTGTTATGTGCCATTGAGTCGGTTCCGACCCATAGCGACCCTGTATAGGGTTTCCGAGGGTATAAATCTTTACGGGAGTAGAAAGCCTTATCTTTCTCCTAGTGGTCATATAATCTGATGCTTCATTTAAAAGCTAGTGATCGATAGAGTTGCCGTGAGTTATCTCTGACTCATAGTGACCCCATGTAGGTCAGGTCTCTACCAGCCTACTGGGCTCCCGAGGTTTTCAATGGCAGTTTTTTTAGAAGTTCATCACCAGACCTCTTCTCTTTTGAGTAGACGCAAAACAGCCTTTTGGTTAGCAGTGAATTAATGGTTTCTATCACCCAGGAATACCAAAGTCATTTTAAAACAAAGAAATTGAGTCCTAGAAAAATTAGGAGACTTGTTCAAGGTCTCAAGACTTAGATCCCAGGGTTTCTAACTACTAGTTTCCTACTGCTTCTGTTGCCACACTTTGTCTCTCTATATGACAGACAACTCTGTCCATCTGTCCAGTGGACAAGACTAGGAACTGTGTCTCCATGCCACCATTTTATACCGCCATGACAATTTCTCTTGTGTCCTGTAGGTTATGCATTCAGCGAAGACGGTGAATATTTTGCCTATGGTCTAAGTGCCAGTGGCTCAGACTGGGTGACAATCAAGTTCATGAAAGTTGATGGTGCCAAAGAACTTCCAGATGTGTTAGAAAGGGTCAAGTTCAGCTGTATGGCCTGGACCCATGATGGGAAGGGAATGTTCTACAACTCATACCCCCAGCAGGATGGAAAAAGTGATGGTAAGTTAGTATTTCAGGTATGACTTCAAACCTTACATAGAGGTGGTTTGGTCTGGAATCAGATTTCCTCAAAGGGTGCTGTATTAGTTAGCTTTGCTATGTAACAGATTTCCTTAAAACATAGTGGCTTAAAATTGTTAAGTGCTATCGAGTCGGTCCCTACTCATAGCAGCCCTGTGTAGGTTTCTTGAGACTTTTTTAATCTTTGAAAGAGCAGAAGGCCTCATCTTTCTCCTGTGGAGCAGCTGGTGGGTTCGAACCTCTGACCTTGTTATTTGCAGCCTACTGCTTATCCTGTGGAGCCACTGCACTCCCTTGTGGCCTACAACAATAACCATTTATTTCTACTTGGGAGAATGTGGGTTGCCTCGGCAGTTCTGCTAGAGTTAGCTGGGCTCTGTTGTGCATTTATGGCCAGTTGGAAGTCAGCTGATTTTGGCTTGATTCTTTAACATGTGTGGAGCTTTGGCTGGTACAGCTAGTCTGCCTCGACTGTTCCAAGTGATGTCTCATCTTCCAGCAGGCCAACCTGGGCTAGTTTTTGTGGCAGCTCAACAGAACTCCAGGAGAAAACTGAAAGGCATAGCTACTTCAAGGCCTGGGCTTACTGCTGGTACATTACTTTGCCACACTCTCTGAGTCAAAGCAAGTTACAGGGCCAGCCCCAATGTAAAAACAGTGGGGAAATATATACCAGGGACAGTGAGAAATTAGGGACTGTACTAAAATCAGTCTCCTGTAGATGTTTTATGCCTCACAAAGGGATCATGGAGAGAGTAGGTTTTTTACAAACCAAAGTTATTTCATGATGGTTAAGGAATTTTAAAACTTCCCTATTGCAGTAGGCACATACATGTCTTCTTCAGATGAGAATTTACAAGGCATGTGTTGGATGAAGTTTTCTTGTGATTTTTTTCCCCCTGGACACATCTTTGTTCTCTTCAGTTGTTTGGTCCCCTCTTATCTTTTCCTCTGTCATCCTTCATCCTTCTAGCCAAGAAGGGCCCTATGTTCAAGATGTTAGCATCAGCATCTCCCTACTGTCAACCCGTGTTACTGTATAGTGTAAGTGTTTTCATGCTCTCCTCTTCAGTCTTTATGTTGTTGTTGTTAGGTGCTATCAAGTTGCTTCTGACTCATAGCAACCTTATCACAATGGAATACAACACTGCCTGTTCCTGTGCCATCCTCACATTTTTTGTTATCCTTGAGCTAATTGCTGTACTGCCACTATGCCAGTCAATCTTGTTGGGTACCTTCCTTTTATTTGCTGACCCTCATCTTTACCAAGCAAATCCTTCTCCAGAGACCGGTCCCTCTTGATGATATGTCTGAAGTTTGAGAGAGAAAGTCTTGCCATCCTTGCTTCTAAGGAGCATTCTAACTGTACTTCTTGCAACACAGACTTGTTTGTTCTTCTGGTAGTCCATGGCTCCTTCAGTATATTTTCCAGCACCAAACTCAAATGCATCAGTTCTTCTGAGGTCCTCCTTATTCATTGTCTAACTTTCACATACATATGAGGTGATTAAAGATGGCACAACCTGGGTCAGGCCACCTTAGTCCTCAAACTGATATCTTTGCTCTTGAGCGTTTTAAAGAGGTCTTGTCCACACACAAAAAAGTCTTATGCAGCACATTTGCCTAATGCAATACATCATTTGATTTCTTGACTGTTGCTTCCATTAGTGTTGATTGTGGACCCAAGCAAAATGAAGTCTTTGACAACTTCACGCTGTTCTCCACTTATTCTGATGTTATTTATCGGTCCATTTGTGAGGAATACTGTTTTCTTTTCATTGAGATATAATTCATACTGAAGGCTGTGGTCTTTGATTTTCATCAGTAACTGTTTTAAGTCCTCTTTGCTTTCAGCAAGCAAGGATGTATCATCTGCATATCATAGGTTGTTAATGGGTCTTCTAATCCTGATGCCACACTCTTCTTCATTTAATCCAGCTTCTCAGATTATTTGCTCAGCATGTAGAGTGGATATGGTGCAAGAATTCAGCCCTGGCACTTATCTTTCTTGATTTTATACCATTCAGTATCCCCTTGCTCTGTTTGAACAACTGCATTCTGGTATATGTATAGGTCCCTCATGAACACAATCATACCCATTCTTTGCAGTGTTAATTCAGTAGCCAGTAAAGTACAAGTAAACATCTTTCTGGTATTCTCTGCTTTCAGACAAGATCCATCTGATGTCAGCAATATCTAGCTCCACTTCCTCTTCTGAATCCCGCTTCAGTTTCTGGCAGCTCCCTGTAAATGTATTGTTGCAGCCATTTAAAAATTATCTTCAGCAAAACTTTACTTGCATATGATATTAATGACATTATCTGATGAGTTGCACATTCCGTTGCAAATGGGTCACTTCTAGTCAGTTAGCCAGGTAGCTGTCTTCCACATTTCTTGGCTTAGATGATAGAGCATCTTCATCAGTTTATTGGAATATTTCAATTTGTATTCTGTCAATTTCTGGAGTCTTGTTTTTCTCCAGTACCTTCATTGCACCTTGGATTTCTTGCTTCAGTGCATTCGAGTCTTGATTATCCTGTGCCTCTTAAAATAGCTGAACATTGACTATTTCTTTTGGTACAGTGGTTCTGTGTATACCTGTCATCTTCTTTCGATGCTTTCAGAGTCATTCAATATATTGTCCATGGAATCCTTCAATATTGCAGGTAAAGTCTTAAATTTTTCTTCAGTTCTTTCAGCTTGAGAAATGCTGAGTGTACTTTTCCCTTTTGGTTTTCTAACTCCAGGTCTTTGCACATTTCATTATGCTATTTGACTTTGTCTTCTTGAGCTGCTCTTTGAAATTTTGTGTTTAGCTCTTTTATCTCATTTCTTCCATTTGTTTAAATATCTCTACACTGGAGAGAAAGCTTGAGTCTCTTCTGACGTCCGTTTTGGCCTTTTGTTTCTGTCCTGTCTTTTTAATGACCTTTTGCTTTCTTCCTTATGATGCTCTTGAGATTTTCCCACAACTCTTTGTAGGTGGGTTTTACTATCCCTGTGTTAGAGCACACAAAGTGGGGGACAGAGAGTCTCAGTAAATTGCTTTAGAACCTAGAGCTGGCAGGATGCAAAGCTCCTCCGTTGCTTTCTACTGAATGTAGTGCCTGCTATACCTTTGTCATCTTTACCTGTTCTTCCTTTTCTGTTTCTTCCTAGAGTTGAATTGGGAATAAGGCTAGATAGTACTTCTGGTCTCTTTTGGCCATGTTTAGCTTTTGCTGTTTTTTATTTTCTTAATGATTTTTGCCTTTGTCATCCATGAACTGCAGAGGCGTTAATGGTAGCATGAGGAGGGATGCATTTTTACTCAAGATTGTTGGCTAAAGAAAGACATCTGTGCTGTGTGCACTGAAATTGCCTGTGTTAAAGAAATAAGAAAACGTTGCTGTTTCCGTGTTCCCAGAGACAAAAAGTGTATAACTGACAGTTCTTGTTAGAGTATAAGGCTATTAAGCTAAATTGTGAAAAATAGAAGGTTACTATTTTTCTTCCGCTTTCCATAGTAGTAATAGTAATGATGGCAGGGCCCTCGTGGTGCAGTGGCTAAGTGCTCTGCTCTTAACTGACAGGTTGGTGGTTTGAACTCACCAGAGGCTGTATAGGAGAAAAGCTTGGGCGATCTGCTCCAATAAAGATCATTGTTGTTGAGTGCAATCCAGCCACTTGTCACCCAACTCATAGTCACCTTGTATAGGCTTCTTTGTGAGAGCAGAAAGATTCATTGTTCTCCCACGGAGTGGCTGGTGGATTTGAACCTCCAGCCTTGTTGTTCGCAGTTCAGTACTTATCCTAGAGAACTACTGGGCTCCCTTCAAAAAAGATTACAAGCTGGAAAACCCGGTGGGATTGCTTTGAGTTGGAACTGATTGGACAGCACAAAACAACAGACACCACCAATAGTAATGATAAGTGATAGTGATTGACGTAAGAAAGTCAGTATCTTCTCCCAGCTGTATTATGCTGCCGTCTTGTCCTGAAGACTACAGTGACCTCTCATGTTGTGTGACAGAGGGCCCTGTGAGCAAAGCTAAACAGTTTTTATCAGTATTCTTACCAATAGTTTTGGGAAAAAAACTATTAAAATAGCCAAGTACTGTACCATTTTTTACATTATTTGTAAGAATTGCATGGGGCCATGTCTGGCCTCCTCTATCTTCACAAGGGGAAAGGAAAATCACAGTCAACGTCAACCCTGGGCTGGTTCATATGAGGTACAGATCAGATATGCCTCCCCCCTCCAATCTTCTTTACCAACTCTGTCAACAATTGTTCATCCCAAAACACTCGCTACTTTTCTGCTGGGTTCAGTAATTCATTGCAGTGGTCACAACGAACTCACGTGATTGTGGGGTTTATTAGGAAAGCTAACAGGTTACGGTTCAGAACCGGAAATGTTCTTTGGTTAGGATAGCTTCTTCTCAGGCCTGCCCATAGGCATACCTTTTTGATCCAGCCACGCTGCCTTTAGCCTCTGCCCTGCTTGGGCAGTATTAGCTCTTATTGCACTGCCAATAAATGTCCAAAGGACACTCCATTCTGCTATAAGCTTCAGCCCTAAGGCACTCAACTCTCAGCTCTGTCGATCAGCAAGCCTAGCTCCCCTGATTAAATGTCTGGGAACATCCTGCTCTGCAAGTGAGCCCACTGCTCAGAGATACTCGAGTTTACTCAGTCTGTGGGCCATTAAGCTCACCACTCTGTCCCATGCTCTTGTTCTTGACTCTCTTACTGCTGCTGTCCCACTGCTGCTCTTCTGTCACTCCTCTGGTGTCTCAGCTCTCTGCTTCTGGATCAGGGAGATTCAGTGAATAGGGATCTTGGAGCCAGGATGTACTCCACTCCTGGCTGGTCTTTGTTGATAATAGTGAGTTCTCTGTTCTCTTTTCTCTCTAAAGTCATCTCAGTTTCCACCAAGTTATTGGGTGGGACCATGCAAGTAAGGTATTCAGGACTCTAAGGCTGGGATTGGTTAGCTTTGCCCTCTAGCTAGACTTAAAGGGAACCATCTCAGAAGCAGAGATGGAAGATCCCAGAACCATCAAAAAGGCAAGAAGGAAGAGCATGAGTGACATGTGAGATCCCTACCTAGAGAAACAGTGACGACAGAGGTGGTGGCATGGAGAGACAGAGCAGATTCAGGTTCTAGGCCCACGGACTGAGTAAAACTGAGTGCCTGACTTATGACAGGTGAAAGGCTCTCCTGATGGGGGAACTTCAGCGTGCCGAGTTGTTTTTGAGCCTGTATTGTACCCCATTCACTTCCCTAATGAACTCTATAATCCTGAGTATTGTTAGGAGTTCTGTGTGGCCACTACAATGGATTGTCGAACTCAGAGGTAAAGCAGAGAGTGCTGTGGAAGCAATGGTTGGTGTCAGAATAGGGTAAAGAAAATTGTAAGAGTGGAAGCATGTTTGACCTTAGCTTCATAGCAGTTGGCCTTGGGAGGATTTTGAGTTTGATTCTCTTTCCCCTTTGTGAAGTCAGAGGAAGCCAGACAGGGCTCCCACATGTTTTTTGCAAGTTCTAAGTTTTTGCAATTACATGTAGCTCTGTTAACAGTCACTCACAACTGAATCATGTAATCCCATCAGCTTCACCCCCCCACCCCTTTCTCTTACCCAACCCCATCAGGAACAGAGGAAAAATACACCCAGTATGCATAGTTCCAGCCAGTCGTTTAATGAGAGTTACAAAGCCTGTGGGTAGAAGAGCCATATCGAGTAAATCACAGCACCACGTTTATGATATGATCTCATTTTGTTTTCCTTCATTGTCCTGAAAGTTTGATATTTTTCAAATTGGTTTAAAAAAAAAAAAAAAAAAAGGTTTATCGGATAACTTCCAAAATCAGCAGATATATACAAATTATTTCTAGGATGTGACTTGATTTGATATCTCAATTTTTCGATGTTTCTAGCATTGTTCATTTGGAGTGGAACAGATTGTCTTAAAATTGCCAACTGCATTTCAGTGTGTGCTTTTAACTCCCTTAGGCACAGAGACATCCACCAATCTCCACCAAAAGCTCTGCTACCATATCTTGGGGACGGATCAGTCAGAGGATGTTTTGTGTGCTGAGTTTCCTGAGGAGCCTAAATGGATGGGGGGAGCTGAGGTATTTATTGTACACCTGTGAAATTTTACCCACAATGACCATGTTTATGAATATTATTATGTTACGTAGTAAGTAGTAGCCTTTATGGATGGTAGAAGTTTTTTCAAGTGGATAATCTTTTGATAAAAATACCAGGTGGTAAAGCTTTAAACTGCATCATCAACATAAGATTGTTTTAATACGTCAGCATATAAATCTTTCATACTAAAAGTAGCATATGCTTATGGTAAAATATGTAAAGTAAAATGTGGACATTGCAAAGCTCTGAGTCACGCCTCACAGGTAAGCACTGAGTATCATTCCAAAAGTTTTCTTTTTATACTCCAATGAGAATATGGAGAGATTGGTTGTGTGTGTCTGTCCCTTTTTACACACACCTGGTCTTTTCATCCAGATTTGTTCACTTGTTTTTACATTAAAGTGCTACATCTTTTACACATTCTTCTACCTTATAACTAGTTCAGGTAGCCCTTGGGGGTCCTGAAAGTCAGGCAGTACAAGTAAGTGCTCAAGTCCCCTCCCCGCCCCAGTGAGACTGCAGCAGAAAGGCCTGGTGACCGGCTCCTGTAAAGACTACAGTTTAGAAAACCCTAGGAGGTAGCTCTCCTCTGACACACGAGCTTGTTATGAGTTGGAATCAATGCAGTGACACCTGACAACAACTGAAGTCATGCTTCTCTGAACTTTCTGGCCCATCTTGTTTTCCCTTTACCATTTCTGCAGGGAGAAGGGGTGTTAATGCAAAAAGCCTAACAGTGCATTTGAATAACCACATTTTATACCCTTTAGATTCTTCATGAAAACAAAGCAGTAATGTTTATGCTTCAAAGCTAATACTTTCATTGTAGAAGACCTATTTTAATAAGGTAAAATTTAGTTGATAGAATGACAAATCCTAGAAGTAAATGCCAGAATAGTAATATGTATTTAACATATGTCGTTGTTGTTAAGTGCAGTTGATTAACTTCTGACTCATAGCAATTCAGTATAAGGTTTCCAAGGAGCATCTGGTGGGTTTGAGCCACCAACCTTGTGGTTGGCAGTCAAGTGCTGTGTTTATCCTACAGTGCCACACCAGGACTCCATTTAACATGTAGGTTTATAAAAAAGCAAGGATAGTTTACAGTGGGATGTATGTACAAATCTAATTGTTTAGCTCTATCTATGAGCATTTGGTTGAAGCACCTTATTTTTATTTTAAATACAGTAGAGACAAATCATACATTTAACTTACATATACTCAATTCTACAACGTAGACAAATGAAAAGGAGAGATCAATAGATAAAAACTAGTTTCAGTGATTCCCTGTATCATTCATTCAGCAGATAGATATACTTATTACTTTTCTGATAAAATCCTTACTACAAGCTTAAGGAGATAAGCATTCCATTGCCTGTTGTTGTTAAGTGCCATCAAATCGGTTCTGACCCGTAGCGACCCTCAGTAGGGTTTCCAAGGAACAGTCCAGCACATTGGCCCACAGCGCCACAACAGGACTCCATTCCATTCCATTGCCTAGAAGACATTAAATGTCAGAATAAGGAACTTGCCCCTAGACAGGCACAGGTCAGTGGATAGAACTGCCTGCAGGTTATCTAGGCTTCATGCCCTGTATGTTGTCAACCTCCACGTTACCTTGCCTCCCTGTGCAAAAGGAAAGAAGTTACACAAAAACAGCAATGATGACTTTATATGAGGGGGTGCATGTATACTCCACACAAGCTAAAATGAAGTTGGTTTAAACAAATTCTATAAGGACACATAAAGTGAGCCATAAGGGACTCTATGTAGTATCAGAGTTTCAATGAGCAGTTTATACAAAGAACGTTTACAAGAAAACCAGTGAGCCTAGTGAAGCCAGTTGGGCGTAGACTTCCCTTAGGCTGCATTCCAGTTGCTTGGGGCTCTTGTTACATCAGGTATAACCCAGTCAGTGCCTAGGTTGATAGGGCAGATCTGCCTGACTAGGTGAGTGTGTCCTCTTCTTTTCTTACCTTGCCATGTGTGGTACTTCTGACCATTTGTATTCTTCTGACGAGGACTATCTTGTTATCTAGAGAAGCACACTTTGTCACTTAAGCATCAGTCCTATAGTTCTGTAAGTATGAAGCCTTCAGAAGCTTTAGGCTCACCTTGAATTGGTGGTTCAGTGCCAGATTTTTCAGTCAGACAATTCGAGAGCATTAAAAAAGATCTTGAAGTATGGAAGTTTCTTTTGTCCTTCAAGGGATTCTGCTAAAGTCAGGAGAGTCCAAGGAACTGGTGCACTGTTGAGCTGGCTGGATTAGCAGCAGCACCTGTGACTCATGTTCAGCTCAGCATTCAGGACTTTCACTGGGAATCAAGCAAACATTTTGGTAACAGTGTTTATTTAGCAACCTACATGAATGGAATGTAAAAGTTGGAAACATAGGAAGGCCCAATAGTTGGTAAAGATGGTTTTGGTGATAGGACACTGGAGATTGCATGATAGAATTTTTGCAAGACTAACTTCTTCGGAGTCCTGGTGTGGTGCTGTGGGTTAATGTTGCTGTACTACAAAGTCGATTTGAACTGCAAAGTTGGTGGTTCAAGCTCACCAGCTGCTCTTCAGAAATCGAACACAGGGTCACTATGGGTCAGAACCGACTCACCAGCATCTAAGAACAACAATGACTTCTTCATTGCAAATACCGTTTTTCAACAACAAAACCAGTAGCTATACATATGGACCTCGCCAGATGGAATACACAGGAATTAAATTGACTACATCTGTGGGGAAAGACTATGGAGAAGTTCAATATCATCAGCCAAAACAAGACCAAGGGCTGACTGGAACAGACCATCAATTACTCATAGGCATTTTCAGGTTGAAGCTGAAGAAAATGAAAACAAGTCCACAAGAGTCAAAATATGACCTCCACTCTATTCACTGTGAATTTAGAGACCATGTCAAGAACAGATTTGATGCATTGAACACTAATGAATGAAAACCAGAAAAGTTCTGGGATGATATTAAGAAGAATGTCATGCATAAAGAAAGCAAAGTGTCATTAAAAAGTCAGGAAAGAAAAAAAAGAACAAAGTGGATGTCAGAAGAGATTTTGAAACTTGCTCATGGATATAGAATACCTAAAGTGACTAGAAGAAATGATGAAGTAAAAGAGCTGAACAGAAAATTTCAGAGGGCAGCTTGATAAGACAAAGTTGGGTATTATTAACGAAATGTGTAAAGAACTGAAATTAGAAAACCAAAAAGGAAGAACAGGCTAAGCATTTCTCAAGCTGAATATTGAAGGATTCTGATGCAAGAAGAATCAAAAGTGGAAGGAAGGAATACATACAGTCACTGTTCCAAAAACAAGTGGTCAACATTAAACAATTTCAGGATTTAGCATAAATGAATTAAAGGAAGAAATCCAAGCCACACTGAAGGCATTAGGAAAAAATAAGAGTCCAGGAAATGATAGGGTAACCATTGAAATGTTTCAACAAATTGATGCAGCACTGGGAGCAGTCACTAGTCCATGCTAAGAAATTTGGAAGACAGCTACATGGCCAGCCAACTAGAAGAGATCAATTTGTATGCCCATTCCAAAGACAGGTGACCCAACAAAATGCAGAAACCATTGAACAACCTCATAAATACCAAACACAAGTAAAAATCTGCTGTAGGTAACTCAAAAATTATTATAGCAGCACATCTACAGGGAGCTACCAGAAATTCAGGCCAGATTCAGAAGAGGATGTGGAATGAGATTATCATTATTGACATCATATGGATCTTGGCTGAAAACAGAGAATACCAGAAATATGCTAGTTGTTGGTGGTGGTGGTGGTTATGTGCCATGGAGTCAGTTCCAACTCATAGCGACCCTGTGTGGGGTTTCCAAGACTGTAAATCTTTGTGGTTGTTGTTAAAGTGCCATCAAGTCAATTCCACTCATAGCAACCCCATATAGGGTTTCCAAGGAGTGGCTTATGGGTTTGAATTGCCAGCCTTGTGATTTCGTAGACCAGTAAATCTTTATGAGAGCACAAAGCTTTCTCCCTCAGAGAAACTCATAGCAGCCCAACTCATAGCTCACTATGCTACCAGAGCGCCTTAGAAATATAGCTAGTTGTGTTTTATTTATATGCAGAGGCATTCAACTGTGTGGATAAGAACAAACTATGGACTAACGTTGCGTAGAATGGGAATTCCAAAACAATTAATTGTGCTCATGCAGAAAAAGAGGTAGTAGTCATTTAGACAAAACCAGGGTTTAAAATCAAACAAAACTAGGCTTGCTATTATATTAGCTGAGCAAATTTTCCTAGAAGTGGGCCTGTATAAACAAAAGCCTGGCATCACTAACAACTTTAATGTGCAGATAACATAGCCTTGCCTACAGAAAGCAAAGTTGAATTGAAGCACTTGCTGATGAAAACGAGACAATACAACCTTCAGTATGGATTACAATTCAATGTAAAGAAAATAAAAATCCTCACCACTGGACCCCAATACATTTAACAGAGTGTGTGAATGGAGAAAGCGCTGTGGTTGCGCCAATGTGTTATATTGACGACTGTGCACTGGAACAGAAATCTGGTTGAATCTGTGTAGCCTTGCACAAATCCCTTCCGCGCTCCAAGTCTTTGTTTCCTTCATTTCCTCCAGTGCTTTTCCTCTTTGGAAAGTACATGGATGGAGGATTTAACACAGCATCTCATAGACTTCCTGGGTGAGGTTGTATTTGATGAATATGAGAAAAGTGAATCAGATGGATATGTTGTCATTGTGGATATGTTGGAAAAACATGGTTAGAGTGGTGGCTTTCTCTCTCTCTCTCTCTCTCTCTGGATTCTCCGAGTTGCTGTCATCTTCCACCCCTTGGCTGCCACAAATCCAAGCTCACCAAGAACTTACTTTTTTTTTAATGTTTTATTGTGAATTATATGATAGTTTACATGGGAGAACTTCAGTTTTACATTCATTTCATCGTATATCATCTCACTGCCATGGTTCCAATCTCCTCCA